CCACAGCGTGCAAGTCAATGCTGAGTTTGGCCCAACATGTCTGAAAACAGAAAAGCTGCTTGAAGTCATGTTATGAGAGCAGCCAGCCAGCCACTGATGGACAGAGACTGGTGGCTTTATTTCTGATATCCTGCTTACCAGTGAAAGGCATAGCCTGAAATAACCATGCTAAAAATGCAGCCCAGATTATCAGTCTGCCTATGCACCAGAGTTATTTTTCTGCCTTCGTGAGTGCAATCATCATGGCATATAGGAATAAATAGCTGTGCATGCACCTTGAATTGTTCCTATGCCTCTGACAGGTTCTAACTGAAGTGAAGCTAAACAAAACATTCATTTTTGAATTAAAAAAGCACTTGCTCTGAGAAGAGCCTGAGTTTTACTTCAGTCTGTACCTSTGTATATACAGTATCTTACACAATTCAGAGTGTATCCTGAATTCTGCCTAAGAGAATAGCGARGCTCCTCTTTACATGTCCTAGGAAATTATTGTCTAGGTGGTTTTTTTTTTGCATCTTTACTTCAAAATGTGCAAGACTAGTGTATGATTCTCCTTTAAATCCCCCATTGAATCTCATATTCCAGAGCCCTGTATTTCCAAATTATTAATATTTTTCCTTDTCATTGATCTTGCAGCATTTAATACCATTAAATCTCAGACTTTATGCGTAAGGTGCATATTATTTTAATATCCTGGGCTTTTCAGATGTGAATGACAAAGAGTAAATAACTACCTGCTGCTTACTATAGGTTTTGAAYTCAGCAGAAGTTCACAGGTCACAGGAATCAGACTATTCCTCTGTCCTTGATTAGAGGGCCCCTCACAAAATTGTAATTGATCCTGTTCACAACCATATGCCCCTATAAACTGGCTTGGGAAGAAAACCAAGCCACCTTGGGTRTGCATCGAGCAGCCTTCCAAGAAAGCAAGATGAAATGTCATGGGGAGCTTTTCCTGTAGCCCAGGAAAGTGACACAGAGTGAGAGCTGATAACTCAGCTCCTTCAAGGCACATCCTCCCAARCTACAACAGGCAGCAATGGCAAGAGGGGCTGGCAGCCTTATTGTCTTGCCAAAGGCCAAATGCCAAGGCAGTGTGACCACCTAAGTCTCTCTCTCATCTATCTGTATCCATTACAGGAAGATAGCTGTTGGTATCTTCAAACATACTAATTTGGGATCTGGTGTACAAATAAAATAATCATACATAAACTYAGGCTGGGATATCCCTCAGCCTCCTCGCCCTCCTGAGGCCTCCTTCCCTGTTAAGGGATCCTCCTGGCTGGTTCTTTGGTTAACCACATGACACCACTGAGCTCTTTCAGAGATCCATTTTCATGAGCTGKTCTCTTCTTAAATGCAAAAATTGGAGGTGAGAACATAAGAATATTTACAAAGTGMTAGTAAAAGTGTCTACACTCAATATATTCCAGATTTCCAGCTCTGATAATTAATAGTTGCAGTGTTTGGTTTTTTTTTGATCAGGTAACATTTAAATATCTTGGAAACCAGGCTTCCATTTATCTTACTGACAGAAGCCTCACTGATAGTCATCCTAAAYATTCCTAATTTTCTTCACATTACTTAGAGCTGTTTTACACTGCCCTTCACATACTCTGCAGACAGAAAGAACTGCTACAGCCAGCCTCCCTGACACCCTGCAGAGAGGAGGTATTGTAGACTTCGCCCCAGAAACCAGATTAAAAAATGTCATTTAGAAGAACTTTTAATCCCATTTTAACAGTATCAGTAGCCAGTTGTGTTTTCCCTAGTGTTTCACAGCTTCATTTAAACTATTCTCATGCTTTCCAGAAGTATAAACAGTGGGTCTGGAATCAGTAGATAGTACTATGGTTTTACTTCACTATTTTTTCTTGATGGAGCTATTTCCTTAAAAAACAGGAACCCTTCCTACAAGTTCAYAAAAACCTCACAGTAAAGTACCTCTTCACAATGCTTCAAAAATCCTTCTCATATTACCATTTYTCAAATCCTGAGATTTTGGTTTCAACACTTTTTAAAGTTTCTTTTCAAATCACACTCTCAAAGTGAGAAGAATGAAATCAAGGAACAACACAGTACATTTGTGCTTTTCCTGAATTATTCCAATGGTGCTTTAACTGAAAATTGTCCTGCATAAATTGAAGCATATAGCAACATAGAATCATTAAGGTTGGAAAAGACCTTGAAGATCATGAAGTACAACTGTGAACCCAGCACCAACACCAGCACATTCACCACCAAAAGACTTTCCCAAAGTGCCATAATCACACATTTTGTGAACAGTTACAGGGATAGTGACTCTACTACTTCCCTAGAAAGTCTCTTCTAAYGTTTTACAGTCCTTTTTGTGTAGAAATTTATCGTAATAGCTAATCTAAACTGCTCCTGGCACAACTTGAAGCCATTTCCTCTCATCCTGTCTCTTGTTACCTGACTTTTTTTATCTTTCATTCTTTGCTGATAAAATGCCAAGTTTTACCAGTTGGATGTTTGCTGCTGAGGTGATTAGTCTGCAACTCCCTGTCTTTGTCCTCACTATTTTAAAGGTTGAAATTACTTTGACATACCTTTTATTCTTTTAAATTCTGTTTTCAAACTTTAACCAAACAGTAATATTTGTGACTCAGAGTTGRATTTTTAAAGTAAAGGCCTGCCACCCTAGTTTGGATCACACATAGTAATGTAAAGCCCCTTTGTTCAGCATCAGATCTCTTTGAAGCAGATTGTCTACAGCCATACTACATCATGGATCACTGYTGGATCTTAGGTTATTGTCATTTTTTGCACATTTTAAGTATATTCAAATATTAAGGACTGCAATGCTTCTACAGCATGAAACTACGATCRCATAAAAGCAGATGGGATGTTTGAAGGGGGAAAGTGTTGGGGAAAAACAGAAGGCTCTGGTATGCAGCCTGCTGGGAGTAGTCCTTGGAATAAAGTGTGCCTGCAACAAGCACATAGTCAAACTCAGAAGGAACTACATGATTGAATCAAAAAGCAAATCTAGGATTGAACCAGTATTTGCTTATCTAGAGAGCAGAGGGGGGACAGAACATTAGGGATCCTGATAGCTATTAAGCATGCCACGCTCTCTGCAGGACTGGATTCACAAATTTGCTTAAACTCTCACAGTGAGAGCTGCTGTATCTGACACTGAAGACACGTGGTGTAAGAATGAGGCATTTTAKTCACAATCACTGAAAAGGAATGAAAATAAATGGTCAGCTCCTGCCCTAGGTCACCAGTGGTCCTCTGCAGTCTTTGATTCATTGTGTGCTGCATGACTTACTTACAATTAACCTCATAAAAGGGAAAAAGTGACAAAATTTCCCCATGATAAAATTAGTGAAGGTAGCAAGATTACTAGCAAACAGTGATGAACTGCAGAAACACATGCAAGACTGATTAGGAAAACATGGTAGATGTAATTCAGCACAAAGAAATAAATTATACACGTGGAGATTAACAACCTTAGCTTCCACATATGAAAAAATGACCTGAGCTTATCACTCTACTGAAAAGCGAGATCCTGCAGTTGCCATAGATAATGCCATGAAAACAGCTCAACATTCAGATCAAATTAAAAAGGCAAGTCAAATATTAGGAATTACTAGAAGAGGACTAAAGAACAAGAAAGTGACCAAGCAGGCCACTACTTAACTGCATGGTTAATATTGCTGCTATTCCCTGCTTTAGGTCACTCAAATGCTAATGCATTTCAGTTTAGAAAAGGAAATTTAAAGGTGACTTGCATATCTGCAGAACATGGCATGGTAGATATTAGTTTACTGTGCAAGGGACATTAAACTACTGAAAATCAGGCTCAAAATGAAGAAGTGGCAACTCTTTATGAAACAGACATCAATTGATAAAGGCTGCCATTATTCRGGAAGCATACACAGCCCAAAGAAAACTACACAAGTACTGGAAAAATGAGCATTGAAAATTACTAAATAGACAAACCACATGATGTTCAGGAAAGCCTGGAATAGAAGACATTTAGAWGCCAAGAGAACACAGAAGAAAAGCAACCAAATGTGCTTGCACAGTTCTTATCCTTCCTCTGGCAACTACCTTTGACTACAAAAGAAGCTATTGTGTTAGAAAAAACAACTTTGGTCAGGACCTGTACAGATATTCCTGTGTTTATCTTCTCAGGAGTTCCAAGAGCACATAAGTAACAGCATGTGCTGTTTGCTTGGCTTCTTGGTWAAATGCAGTAGAAGGTGATGTGTGTTATAAATGCAGCCAAGACTTCTCAGTCATCAGTGCTAAGTCTAAGCACTCGTGTTCACAGTGGGGATGCTATTAAAGTGATAGACTTATCTTGCAGCACAAATATTTCCCGTATGAAACCTCCTACTAGAGGGATTTTTTTTTTTTTAATTTCTCACCAGGAATAAAAAAGCCCCCATTTTATTGTATTTTTTATGGATGGTACCCCAAACCAAAAGCTGTCAGTTCTCTTACATCACTTTAATAAAAAAACATGTCCTCCCTTTAGTATATTAAGTAACCAATCTTATCATTTAGTTCCATGTAATGAAGAAAAATTTTTAGTTTTATAGACATCAAATTGGGGTTTTGAATGTCAAAGACATGCCTTCTCCTATAGTTCTGCATGACAAATGATCTGCCAGAAAATGTCTACATAAAAGCTGTAAGCTAACTGATTCAATTCAGTGGACAGCTCAAAAATTATATATAATATATACAAGTTTATATATATAGATATATATACATATATATATATATATATATATATATATATAAACTCGCTTAAATTATGCATAAATTCTCACATTGCAGTTGCAAGCTGTTTTTAAGCATTTCAAGGATATTGAACCCAAACCAAAATCAAACTATCAAACTAGCAAGTTAGGGAAAACCCTGGAAATACATAAATGCAAACTAATCAATAAAGTGACATTCAAGGGAAGTCATCAGACCTCCTGTATTACCCAAATAATGGAAGAAAAGGAAATGCACCAGCAGAAACATGCATTTAAATAAAACGTCATTATTATTTATTACATTTGCTATCGTTTACAGAAAACTTTCAGAGTTTAAGTTACACAAGAGAATATCATAGACTTATATGTGAATCCTGAGAACAGCAAGAATGCTCCCCAAGTCTTTTCTCATTTTTGACACTTTATTATAGAGTCTAGAGAAAAGTAAGTAAGAGAGCTAATTTCTTGTTTGTGCTCATCTGACCTGGAGTTTTCATGACATTTTACTGAATTTTCAGATTTCCTAAGATAAATTTCATTACTGATATCTTGTCATGCAGCCAACATTCATGTAAAGAACATTTAAAGTCCTTTGTAAATTGATGCTGTGAGTGTGCAAAATGACACCACTTAAAAATTCCCTGGGTTGGTCATCCAGAAGTTTTTATAGCAGCTTCCTTAAATGACTTTTTGGCCAGGCTAACTGGAAATAAAAGTAAGTAATTCAGTGCAATATAAATACTTTTTCTCTTCTCTTTGCCAGCAATATGAAGTATTTAGCTTCCTTTATTGCTTTTTGTAGAGCTATGACCTGGAGCGTATACCATGTAAACTCTTAAAGCAAAAAGAACTTTTTATCTCTGCACAAATATAGCTTTCAGCTTAACTAAGATTTCAGGTTCATTTCCAAATGCGCTTTGCCCTATTAACCCTGCAGGTTGCTTTAGGTGCCATTAGCACTATGCTCTGAAACCAGCATAACAAAAAAATCAAAAAAGCTTAAAGTAAAAAAAAGCTTAAACAGCAGATGAAGAACACACAAGAAACTATTTTTTTATGAAGTACAATTAGGAAATTAACACTTGTTTTGGCATCACTGAAGGTTTCCAGTGCTAAGTGAGAACCTATACCAACCAGCGGTTTAAGTTTTGTTGATAACATTCARCCAAATCTGATGCTTCTCATATACACATTAACTATTGTACTGCAGTAACAATACAGCCTTAATATTTTTAGATCCAGCAGSCAGAACAGGTATAACAAATGTCGCATCTGCTCTCTGTGAAATATTCCATGTCATCCAGATTTTAAATTTACACACATATGTACATAGGTAGCTGAAGAACTTTTTTTTATCTAAGTTAAACAGTTTCCCTACAAATTTGAATCAAAATTAAAATGACAATTCATTACCTACATTATTAAAAAAAAATGCTTTATTTATTACTTTCAGCTTGAGACTTAAGTTACCGCCCTTACTCTAAAATAAAGTCAGTATGGACTTCATTCCTATCTGGACCGTAAAGCAAGACTAAAATTGTACATGTAGTTTTTCATCAAAGCAAGAGATAAAACCCAGCATATACTAGCACTTCTAAAGGATGCATTAACAAGCTACACTCATCATAACAATATTTGTTGGTACACACTAGTAAMTCCAACAAATGTACAATATCTGGCATGATTTTAGAAGTACTGGATGCCAAAGAACAATTGCACTCATTTACAAACAGTTGACAAAAATACCAAATAATAATATACCASTGAACTTACTTATTAAAAACTTCTCAAAGCTATTATATACACCATTCTTTTGAAGAATATTACACAAATACTCTGAAACCTTCACATACACATTTTTTTTCTTAATAGTGCCAATCTTCAGAGCTCCTGTTAACTTTAACTTGACATTCTTCTCATGCAGAGGTCTTCTCCCATGTCAGCCTGTCATATTTTCAGCAGCCTAGAAAAAGAAAAAAAAATACTGCAATTCACCAAAAGAGACATCATGTAGATTAAATTTAGTATTTTCTTGTAACATTTTTAATTTGCCTAGAGAAACTAAAGGTCTAAAAAAAAAGCTACTTGTGAAAATTTCTCTTATGAGCACTACTGCTTTTTAAAAAATAAGGCTGCTGACTGCYATTACCCTTTACTGAAAGAGCCCTGCTGTTTGCTTGTGTTATGTCCTGTATCTGAGCAGCTTTTATCTTKTACATTTTACCTTAATACTCTCAAGAAAGGCTCAAATGCATAAATGCAGCTACCTTTGGAGTTTCCTTTATACAATTTATGGTAATTACTACCCCATGCATACCAATTTGTCATTGACATAAAACTCAGAAGAATAACACTAATCATAACTGCATAAATTACACTACCAATTATTTAAGAATATTAATATTTTTATTACTGAATAACTCAAACCAGTCAACAAGGCACATTTGTTTGAAGACTGACATTGGTGGGTTTTAAACCCACCAGTTATGTTTGCCCAGTTATGGGACAAACAAGTAAAGCATAGAAACAGGAATGGCAAACCAGTAAAATCAATGGAGAAGTAAACCAGCCCTCAATCACTTATATACACAGTTCAGTGCATATGTAAGCACACATTGAAGCATAGACACAAATATAAAATATGCATGAGTATAGAAAAATGTTAAGTTAAAAATAAAGAATGCAGTCTTCTAGAATAGGAGCAACAAAGAGGCTTCCCCTCTGCCTCCCAAAAATAACCAAAACATAGAAATCATGACTGTGATGTTTAGGTAGACAGTGAAGAATGAAAATCCTTTAAAAGGCAAGTGAGATTTTTTTTAAAGCATGGCTACCCTCTATGAGTAAACAGGTGAATATTCATATATGAAAAGCCCTGTATATACACACACATAATGAAATCCCCCTTTGTTAGTATTTGGAAAGGTTCAAAGCACAAGTTAAGAGGTTAAGATTACATTAACAAGCTGCCTGAACCTGTTTACAAGCACTGCTGCACACTACTAGATCTGAGGTTGTAGAAATGAGGTGATACTGATTAAACGAAAAATCTGTCATCTTATGAAGATAAGGGGGAAAATAGTGACTATAATAAAAAATTGTGAGTTTTGGTTGTGTTTTTTTTCTTCAGAAGAGTTAGTCTAATCATTTTATTTGTACAAAACATGTTATTCATACAATTTCCTGCTTCATGTTGAATTCAGTTGTATTCATTGCCTCCGCTATTGAACAGTTCATTTCCTTGATTTAAAAGAATGAGTCWCATCAAAGTACTTACAACTTACAAATTGAAGTACAGCAAATTGCATGCACGTGTGCTTGTTAAAAATGAATTTATATGATTTTTAAACTAGAGCATTACCTTCAGAGCTTCTGTAGCCTTACGCAGTTCTTTAATAACAGATGATAATGCTTCTGGATTTATCCCTTGCTCACAAAGCCGCACACAAATTGACAATGTCTCCATATCCAAGCCAGTGTTTAATATTCTTGAGATCTCAAACAGAACTGCAACAGAAAAAAATGAAAGCACTTTAGTCCCTACAGACTATGAAATTTCAATTATCAAAATTGTTCTTCACCAACATTTAACTTGTACAATACAGTGTGAAGATGGCAGATGTCCACTGCTATTTGAACTTCAAAAACATTTGTGCTCAGCTTTCCAGCATAAGCTAAAAGCTACGGCTTCTAACATAAACACCATAATTTACCAGTTCAGGAAATACAATAATAGATAATTTGTTTTGAAAAAGTAAAAATAAAAATAAAAAAAGTGAGGATTTCAACAATTAACATGGCTGGCAATTAGGTAAAAAGGTAGGCTTTAAGAACACTGTGCTTTTGGAYTCCAGCTTTGATTCCTCATAGGAGGCTGAAAGTGTGCATTTGAACTTTACTCACCTGCTCACATTCCTCATGCCTTATCAATCTCCAAAACATCTCCCAGTACTCCCAGTGCCACTTCTCTCACATTCCCCATCCCATAACAGCACTCGGGTTTAGGTTTTTTTTTTTTTTTTCCACATCAGAAACTATTCTAATTCTGTAACACCAACTACTGTTCGCAGGCTTTTCACTATTATTGTTTGGGTTGTTTTGAGGGTTTTTTTGCCGTTTACGTTGGTTTTCAGACATGAGCGACAAGAACAAAATCCCGGGGTTCAGATCAGTTCATGGGCTGCCCCGACACTGACACTAGGTCGGTCCTTGCTCTCTCCCGCGCATTTCCAAGTCCCTGGCTTAAACCCAAGCGCACGGAGCCAGGCCACACCATTTGCATYAACCGTTATAAATAACGAGAAACGACAGCACATATTAAATCCTTAGCCAGCTTTAAAAGATCAACCAAAACCAAGAAAAGCAACGCGAGGTCCAAAGACAGACACGCTACGTGGATGTTCGAACTGTTTCAGACACTGCCGTCACATGGAATAAAAACCGTGCATCGTTCAGCAGCCGCAACCCGCACCCAGGGTTGCATTAACCAGGGGAGGCGCCCGTGTCCGCGGCCCAGGGCGGGGTCAGGCGTTCCCTCTCCCTCGCAGCCCGTCCCCGAGGCTGTCACCCACCGTCCATGGTCTCCCTGACGGCGTTCAGGCTGGCGGCGTTGCTCGCCATGGCGACCCCGCGSTGCCGGAACCGGAACGCCCCGCGCACGCCCGGGCCCGGGCCCGCCCCGCCGGCCCCACGTGACGGGACAGCGCGAGCGCGGCGGGGGCGGGCTTTCTTTGAATTCGTGCGGCGGCGGCACTGGCGATTGGCCCGTTCGAGAGCGCGGGAGCCCTGCCATTGGCTCGGTGGCGCACACCGCGCGTTGTGATTGGTCAGAGTGGGCGGAGGAGGCGGGGCTGGTTAAAGGGACGCCCGGCGCGGCGGGGCGGGAGCGGCGCGGCGGCGGCAGCCCGGTAAGGGCGGCAGGTGGCGGCGCTCGGAGCCCCGGCATTCCCGGCTTACCGGCATTCCCACCATCATCCCCGGCATCGCCTCCTCGGCGGCGGGGGCTCGGGGAGCGGCGAGCGGCTCGGCGCGGTGGCACCGTCCCGGGGAGAAGTGTGAGAAGGGTCTGAGCAGGGGTGCTTCCCCCGGGGCTCCCGTCCCYGTTGCGGCCGGAGGCGCGGGAGCCGCCCGGGCCCGGGAGGTGCCTCCAACGGGAGGGAGCGGAGCGGAGCCGCCGCCGGAGCCCCGCGAGGGCTGGGGCTGCCCCCGGCCCGTTGAGGCGGAGGGCGGGCGGTTTTAGCGCCCGGGCGGAGCGGGACCTGCCCGGGGCGTTATTGCTGCTCGGGCGGCACCGCAGCCGGGAGCTGCCGGGCTGCCCCTGTGGAGGCACGACGGCCGTTTTCTCTCTTGGTGGTTGGTTGTGGAATTTTTGGTTTTTTGTTGGATTTTTTTTTTGCTTTTTTTTTGTTTTGTTTACTTGTTGTTTCGATGTTTGCTTGTTTGTTTTTTTTTAATCCCCGTTTTCATGTTCTTTCTTATCTAGTTTTCATAGTTTCTATTTGTTTGTAATTGATCATACCAGCCTTATTTATCAACTTTATGTCAGTAAGTCTAAGCCATTGCTAATTTCGTTTGTGTTAATTTTTGAAATATTACTTAAAAGTATTAATCCTCCCTTCCAAGGGCTTCAGGGTGACCCTAAAATGTCAAAAGTATGATTTCATTGTTTTCCTTAATTTTGTTCTCCCTCTCTCGTTTTCAGGTATAGCTTAGTGTTATGGGTGATACAGGAGAAGCTAAAATGCAGATAACACCAGAAACTCCAGGACGAGTTCCAATCCTGAATCCTTTTGAAAGTCCCAGTGATTATTRCACTCTGCAGGAGCAGATTGTCTCCAGTCCTTCGGTTTTTAAGTCAACAAAATCCTCATCTGTAAGAGCTAGTCTTCAGTTGTGTAKCTGTACAGATATAGTTATATATATATCTAATATATATGTAACTATRTAGTATTTTATTAAAATACATCYAATATTTTCAAATGCATTAAAAAGGGTATTTTATTTAGTGTACTTTCACATACCAAGCTAAGGAATTTTGGTGGCACTTGAGTGTTTCTTCTCTTTACAGAACTATGCTGCTTGTAAATACTAATATTGTCATGGAGTCTTCCTCCCTTCCTATATTTATTTTGTCTTTAAATATTAGTGATTGAGTGCGAAAACCAGYAGAAAGTAGATAAAGAACAGTTGTTGGATGTGGTGCACTGGTCCCACTTAAAGTAGAAAAAAACATTTTCTACTTAACAGCTATGCAGGCTGGTTGCAAATAAAACCTGGTCACACTTTTATTGTAAGRTGTTTGTGTAGTAAAGTTAATTATTTTGTGTATCTAAAACGGTTTTATTAGTTGCAACTGACATACTGGCTCACAGTTGAAATTATTTTCTGATAAGCAGTAGAGATGATACTGTGCTAGTGAAACAAAAACGACTCACTTGGTAGGTAATTTTCTAAATATATTTGAGCACTACTTTGTAATTGTTAAATAAAGGGGTGAAACTGCTTTATTTCTGAATTAGATTTTGTTATGAACTATGCATGGMATTTATGAGGGAGACTTTGCAGGACGTACATGGCCTTGCAAGTCTGTCTTAGAAATGGGGAGTGAAAGGAAGACTGCTTTATTATTTGGAAAACTTGGATTAGGTATGGATACTGGGTTTTCATGGAACCACAGTTTGAATTGGGCAATCAAGAAGCAATTTAATTTTATCCCAAGTTATCTTTAGTAGACCTGTCYTCAGAAATTGAGAAGAAATTGACACCTCAATTTGGAAATACCAGCTATAACCTTCCACTTAATACTATCTTTTAAATCATTGCAAAACCATTACCAGGATAAGAAGCCTTACTGACTTACTCTTTTTTTTTTTAAATAGGAACACTTTAGATTGTCTTTGACAGAAACTATATGGAAGCTATGATTGTATTGTTCCATTGAGATTTGTCCTGTAGTTTTATTTTTATCTTTTTAGAATAGCAAGCATTAAGATGCYCATTTCTTTTTTTAGACACCAGGAAAATTTAGATGGTCTATTGATCAGCTTGCTCTAATAAATCCTGTGGAAATTGACTCGGAAGACATTCGACGTCAAGGAATGTATTTGAGCCATGCTAGGTAACTTAGTGTTTCTTTTTTTGCAGCTAACTTAACTTCAATACTAGAAGACTATTCTTCTGTTTTATTAACATTTTAGCATAGCATTAATGACTTTTATTCATATCTTTTAACRTAATTTTTTACATTATGTGGATACAATATTTAGATGAGGCTGCCTCTGTGTTGCTTCCTTTTAATGTTAAGATCTGCTGATCCACTCTGCAGTTTGGAAGACAGCCAGATGAAAGCAGTTAGTGGAAGGAAGAAAATGTCTTGCCAGTGATTGTTACCATGTTACCTTTTTTGCTCCTAGTTACTACACAATTTACCTTCTCAGAGTGCTCCATASTGAGTCGTCTTTGGAGCTCCTGCAGAAGGGTAGACCTGGGGAAGCTGGCTGAGGAAGCCAGTACTCTCTTTGGAAGGTATAGATTAGACTTAATGTGAAGGAGGGGGGACTAGTGCTAGTTACTTGAAGTATTTTGGGGACCTTATCACTTTTTTCCTTTCTCTGAAAATAACTCATATAAGGAAAATAGGTAAAGTAACGCAGTCTTGGAGTTTGGAACTTGAGTGATAATTTTGCACACTGGTAGAAGAGAATGACATGCCATGTGGAAGTAGGCAAGGGGARGCCTTAATGGTGAATCCTGTAGACTCTCCTGTACATTTCTCAGTTACAAACTTGCACAAAGAATTGCTCTTCRTGGCATGAAGCACTGCAGGAATAGAATAATAAACCAACCCTGTCTAGATTCGGTTGCTCAGAGTCCCACCCACCTKGATCTTGAATGTTTCCAGGGATGGGGCATCTACCATCTCTCCAAGCAACCTGTTCCWGTGTTTCAACACCYTCAAAGTAAAAAATACTGTGAGGTAGACTCACTGAACCTACAGCATGTCTGACTGAACCTACATCTCTCTTTTTGAATAATAAAAGCTGTAGGACTATAACTGTCCTCAGCTGTATCTGAATCACCAGGTCTTTCTGCCCTTCCTCTAGYAGCCAATMGRTTTCAGATTCTGATGCTTCTTAKACATTATTAAACCTTATGTTTTTARGGAGTTGATTACATTGTTTCTKGAACCTTATTCAGACAAACTAGCTTYAATGTAGATGGTTTGGGTGAAAATTCCAGTGATAAGTGATATGGCCCAYAGATAGAAATGTGTTGTCTCAGTGGGTCCTTTCAGTCCCACTGTTTCATGCAGTGATTCCTTTTTTTTTTTTAATCATCTGTGTAGCTTTTTTATATCCATTCTTGCACGTTTCATTGCATATATATATATACATAAAATGATTGTGTGCTTCTTTTTTTTTGGTACAACAACTCTGCAAGTGTCTCCACAGAACTGTTTAGCATTGTCYAGGCAGACATAACTGAAGGTGGCATGTCCAAACATTGCAGATATATTCAAAGTCTGATAAGCATAAAAGAGAGAGCTGTGAGAGTTTATGTGTTTGGCACATCTGTGTGTGCTTGTGTAGCTAATAAGATCTGATTTCTAAAATTATTCGGGGGCAATTCAGGTATACTAACTGTATGAAAGTGTTGTGTGGTTCAGCTAAGACAATGATGAACACTATTAAGCTTCAAAAATTTTACAATAAATTACATAGTAGCAACTGAAAGTCAGGCTTGAAGATGACCATTAGAGGAAATGTAAATATAGAAACTCGTACATCATGAGGTAACTGAAGTAACTACAATTTATTTATTTAAAAACTAAGTTGAAAGCTGCATAAGGGAATATATTTCTTGTTAGAAACTGAAATATGATACTGTATTCTATAATGAAGAAAATGTGGCAGACTAGGTATTTGGCTAGAGAGAACTCTGCTGGGAAATTGGGATGTGTCAGGAATTTGAGTGTGCAAATTCAGGGATTGTCTTCAGTTGCCCTTTAATTTGTTACATCTTTATTTTTTATTGTGTGTGGGTTTATAGTGCAAGTCTAATCTTATCTTTAACAGGAAAATATATTAATATGAAATATATAAAATATATTAATAATTATTTTGGAAGATCAGTTATTGTTACATTTTTGTCCAGACATGCTGAGTAAASATAATATTTGCAAATCTTTTTCAAATCAACTTGAAATTGAGAAGTGCATTTCTATATATAAATTTATAGTTTGAGATTATTGCACGTAAGTGTAAAAACACCGTAAGATTTAGAGTTTAGTGCAATTAATTGAGTATCTATAAATTATTATATGGCTGGCCTTTACATTTTTTCCTACTTGTGTGATAGTTTTGATAATTGAATTGTTTTTCATTTGTTGCTTAGAACTGATAAGGAGACAGAAGATAGAAGGCAAAAAGCTATTGAGGAGGTAATAAAACTTGGTGCTATCAAATATTGATTTGTTTTGTCTACAGAAAAGATCCTTGTCTGTTACAGGATTTCAAAACCCAGAAGCCTGTTATATTTCAGTAAGAAAGTAATTTTCAACCCTCATCCCTTGCAGTTGTAGTTGGAAYCCACACTCTTCTTCCCCATCTTCTTTCAGACAAACATAGGTCAAAACAGATTTGTTTTCTTTGATGTTTCTTGGCTAGTGGTAATATAGCTATAATATAACTCTTACAAATAGTYTACTTCAGGTTAAAAATAATGATTAAGAATTTGGGGATTTTTACTAACTGTTAGAGTGATGCTGCATTTTTAAAAATATTGCAGAATTTTTGGGGTTTTTTATTTCTTCCAAAGTCTCTTTAGTTGGGTGGAAGAGTTTGTTCTTGTAGCTTGTATCTTTCCATCCATTTTTCATTTTATTTTTTGCTATTCATTTGTCTAGCAGAGGAGGAAAAGTAAAGTGTTTAAAATATGCACTACAGAAATCTTCAATGTTATTTCAATTAAAAAAAAATACAGCTTTGTTTGGCAAGTCCATCAGTTTCTCTCTACAAACAAAAGTATGTTTTATGWATCTGTAAAGAAGCTGTGTAGTTGACCTGCAGCTAAGATGTACTGTTCTAAATTGTGTTAAAAAAATTTCCACCTTGTGAGGTATAACCTAATAGATTATGCAGCTGAACAGCTTGAAACACGCAACTATTACAGGCATAATTTTTATTAAACGGGTATTTTTTTTATTAGACAGAGTTGGTTTTTTTTTCATTTATTAGAAGTCTTGCATTTATTGTGAGAACAGGATTTGCCATGTGTTTCTTGAAACTTTGCAGTAGCGTTCATCTCGTCAGCATCAGGGTGTTCCACAGTGCAATGTGATGATAGACAAAGCTGGCTCAYAGAAAAAGACTGAAGTACTCATAAGTGTTTTACCACTAACCCATTTAGCCAAATACACTAACACTAATAATGTTGCCAAAAAGCTTTGGTTAATCACTTTTACTGCAGTGTCTCTTTATCACTTCTGTGAAATAGCTCAATTGTCAAAATAAAACTTAACAAACTGAAAATTTAAAAAACTATTTTAAACTTCTGTGGAAGAAGCATGGTAGTGACAATTCAATTTTTAAATGAATAATTATTGTTAATTGAAAGTTGTGTATAGTTTTCACTCTGGAGACTTGAAAGATCTGAAATGCTATGTGTCATAAAAAACATAGGGGTTTTCAAGTCAATTTTTTTTCTTTAACCTCTTTGGGCCTAAAATAATGAAATGTTCTACAGTTTTTTTCTTGTTCAGGGTACTAAATTTAAGTTGAAAATTTTAAAATATRCTGAGATGGTTTGTTTTTATTCTATTCCAGTTTTTCACAAAAAAGCTCATAGTTCCTTCTCCTTGGATTGAACATGAAGGCAAGCAAGTTTCTCAGTTTAATTCAACTAAATGTAAGTTGCTTTTGTGTGTCCACCCAAAATAATGTAGCTTTTGGAGAAATTATCAAGCATAACTGTTTTTTTCAACCTCAATTTAAATTTTAAGAACCAATGATAAAATATGTCACAACTGATTGATTTCAGCTGTTGGCTCCAAGTGCTTTCTTTGTTTAAAAACTATTTATTGATTGAAAGTCTTTCATAATTTTTCTTTTTTGTTATTCCTGGTCCTTGTTCTTAAATCTTTCTACTTTAATAACCTGTCTGCAACCGGTTTAATTTATGCATGTAACTTTGCTGTATTGACACTGGTAAAAGCCAAGTCTTCTACTTCATGTTTTTCTTCAGATATGTGCACATATTGTTCCAACTGCCTTCCTCACCATATAAGCATATTGGAAATGGAATTCTATGTTCTTTTACCCTTAAGGCATGAATTCCTGTTGTCATCTTAGTGTCCTGCTAGCTCACTGCCACTAGTTGTGGGTTTTCTAAGTTTATTTCATTTATGCCACTGTTAGATTTTATTCTTAATTCTCTTTTATATAACCAGCAGAATAGCAAATGGATTACAAGATGGACAAATGTCAGCTATAAAGATTTTGTTTGTATCCCCTGTTGTTTGGTTTGAAAGTCTTAAGTGGAGATTTTGCAAAATTTGGAAAAGGTTAAGCAGTTAATTTTTTTTTCAAGGAGATGCAGCTTGTGGATGGTGTATTTTTAATTGTCAGTTGTAAGATTGTCACTTTAGGGGCAGARAACACAGGCATAATCCAAGATCTGGTGAAGAGAACGATGGAAGAAATTGGTCTAATGTGTTCTTYAGCTGTATATAAAAAGATGAAGTGTTTCTTCACCTTTCTCCAGTCCAGACTGAATGATTTTCTGGAAATGTATTTACTTGAACACAGCCTGTTTAGCTAAGCACGAACTAGTTTGTTTTAAAGCTCTGTTTAGAGAGASGAGGAGACAAAAGTTTTGAGCAGTATTGATGCTCTTTCACTGACCTTTCTTTGGAATAGAAACGTGCTGAAATTTTCGGCTATAATGGTAACCTTTTTTCAGTACTCGTTTCTAATGTCTTCTGAACTTTGATGCAAAATATTCTAGCTTAACATTGCTACATTTCAAAACTCTATGCAGTGCATGTTTAAATTTAACATTTAAATGCACTCTATGCAGTGCATGTTTAAATTTAAGTTCTGTGTTTTACAGCCATAGATATAAATAACATTTCTCCAATTGGAAGACAGCTAAGCTTGCACTCTGGGAGAAGCAATGGTGAGTAAAAGGCAATGCCTAAAATTACACACTTTCTCTGAAGAAAAATAAACCATTTTTAATGGTTATTCAATTTCAAAAAGGAATTATTTGTTTGTTAATATTTCTGTAGAAATAGTTTTTAACTGTATGTTACTATTAATTTTAATATCTATTTCTCATACTAATTTAATTCTATTATACTCTATTATATTTTTTCAAGTGAAAAATTAAGTCCCTTGTAGACTGGAGTGCRTTTCTTCCAACTTGGTGTATGTACWTTTCTGGATTAAAAAGTGAATGTAAACTTCAGGTTTACAAGTAAWATYCAGTTTCATAAAACCTTTAATGTGTKGGATTGGTTYGGRATAGAGAATCATGATTATTTTCTGYGCCAAATAAATATTARAAATGTTAATATATMTTTTAAACTGCATCATTTTAGATAAATAGGTAGTGTTTTTTCCCAGGGTATTTTGATTCTTCTGCCGTTTTCTTTTGAATTCTTCCTTTCTTCAGAGACCTCTTCTCAGTTAATACAAAAGCTCTGGAGAGGCATTCTTAAAACTCTCGGGTTTTATGTCTAAGCCTAGTGTGCTGCATGTAGTGTTGTCAAATCAGAATCGTTATGTTAATTAACGCTTTTCCTTATTGCAACTGTAATTTAAATAGCTCAATTGCAGTGCAATTTGAAAGTGAATTTTTGTTTCCACAGCTTTAGTAAAAGGTCACTGTCAGCTAATTTTGTTTGTTTTATTCATTGCAGCTGCTTGTCAGACAGTACTGTCTTTGCCAGTGGATTTCAATTTAGAGAAAATACTAGGTATGTCATTGCAATATCTACATTTAATTATGGATGTCTAAATAGAAAACTTGGTTTTGTATTGTTTGCTGGGTGTTTGTCTTGTGAAATATTGAAAACAAAATATATGAATGAAAGTTTTAAGTATGTGTTCTAAATAGTTACTGCATATTGCGTGGTATGTGTGACTTAAATACTATGTGTGGACATAATGATTAAAAAAAGGAGGCATTTGAAGAACAACTGGAAGTTGTTCAGCCCAGAGGAGACKGAGGGGAGACCTCATTGCAGTCTGCAATTTCCTCATGAGGGGAAGAGGAGGGGCAGGCACTGATCTCTTCCCTCTGGTGACCAGAGACAGGACCTTGGGAATGGTCTAAGCTGTGTTGGGGAGTTACATTGGATATGAGGAAAAAATTTATCACCCAGAGGGTGGTTGGGCACTGGAATAGGCTCTCCAGGAAAGCAGTCACAGCAGCAATCCAAGAGAGTTCAAGAAGCATTTGGAYGATGCTCTCAGGCACATGGTGTGACTCTTGGRAGSTCCTGTGCCAAGCCAGGAGTTGAACTTCAAAGATCCCCATGTGTCCCTTCCAACTCAGGATGCTCTATGATTCTATGAAATTGGTTAAGAATTCTGAATGCCTGAAAGGTAGTAAGCAGAAGGTACCTTGTGCCTCCCCCAAATGGAGCAGTAATTTATCTTAGCACAGAGATCTTTGGTTTGCAGTTGCTGKCCAGGAGGCTCAAAGCTCAACCTTGCCTTGAGTGGAGCTGGGCTGTAACTCTGCCTTTAGTGTACCTGAAACCATGGAGGGGACTGGATGCTGTGTGATGGCAAAAAAGCCCAGACTGCTGACTGAGGAGACAAGAGTCCCAATTAACTGATTGAAAGTGCTACATCAAGCAATTGCTGCTACTTTCTCTGGCAAGGGGGCTGGAAGAGCCTGATCTTGCAGTTCGTAGGTGGGAATGCTGGGTGCAGCCAGCTCAGAGCATTTTGGCTGCATGCTCCTATCCTGGTACTGAAATTCAGAGCCTGAACTGTGGGTTAACCCTAACTGCCAACAAAACAGGACCGTATCTATTGCCTTTGTTTTTTGTTTAACAAATGCTTCCATAAACACATAGTTTGAGAGTTCATGAAAAATTTCTCCTAAAAGGAATATCCAATTAGAACAGAAAAAGAGCAAAAAATCTAAAATAATCTGGTAAATCTGATCATATTTTAATAGGTCTTAGTTTGTGCTTTCCTACTGTAAGCTGCTAATTGCTTGAACTTTCTTTAAGTCTAATCTGGTTTSCCTCTGGATGTATTATGAAGTCCATCAAAGCATATGGGAGATCTGGAAAAGAGTCTAGGTTTGCTTGGGTAGTAAAATAATCCCTGTTTTACAGTCAGATGTGAGAAATAATACAGTTCTGGGAAAAGACAGTTGAGTACACATAATGTTTTTTTAGTGTTAAGGTATGACAGGCAGAGGTAGAATGAACCTTAGTAAACAGAGTTGACTTCTTCAAGGGATGGTAAGAAATCCTTTGGGATTGGTGCCTAATTAGATTAATTAGTTGCTGTATTGGATTAAATGTTTTAATTTAATTATATATGTCTCTGTAGAGAAATGTTGCGGGGTTTTCTGCGTTCTTACTGGAAACAATTTCTCCCACCACATTTCTAGGTGAATATATTAGAAATGATGAATTTGCAGATCAGTCTCAGGAAAATCTGAGTTCTTCATCACTCAGAAGAAAGCTGTTTTTAGAAGAAAATGGGAATGTATCTGCATGTTTGTCCCCTTCTCTGCATAGTCCACGTGGTAGTCAGCCACTTGGAGTGCTTTGTTCAATAGAATTATCTCCAGTCCGCTGCAGAAGCCCTCTAGACACATCGAGTTCAGTAAGTAGCCTGTTTGGTGGGCTGGGTGAGGTATACTTAATGAGAGTAGGTGTTAGACTGAAAGRTGGTGGTTTGGTTTCTTGATTTTTAATTTGTGTCTTTCAAATTTCAAATTCTGAAAAAAAAGTGAACAAAATAAGAAAGACTTGAAAGAATATATTACTGACTTTTTATTATTTCAAATTATTTTATGCTGCTCTTCTTTTATATAGGGAATTGTGTTTTAATTTTGTTATGAAAAGGCAGTAGCAATTAAAACATACAAAAGACTTGCTGAAAGCATGTTGAAACATTTCTCTTTTTTCATAAAATGTGTATACAAAAAAGTCCTGTTATAATCCCTGAACTACTGTCTACAATATAGTTGATATGAACATGTGATATAATTATTTCCCTTACATCTCATAAACACATTTATAGTGGAAGAAATGATTTGTGAATCTTTGAAGTGCAATGCTAAATATGCTTTTTTCTTTCCCATTGGCCAGAGTTTTCAGATGAATAGACATTTATTAGAACACAGAATATAATGCCCGTTTTTTAAATTAAGCAAAATGAACCTTATCCCCATGTGGACATAGCGCAGCTGAAGTGGTTTAGGTGATATGGTTTCATTTGTTTGGTGGCTGAATTGCATGGGAAAAACCTACCTACACTGCGATAGTGTAGCTTAAAAAAAAGGTAACCTAGTAAAGAATTCCTATAATATAATTATTATTCCAGAAGTTATGTGGGTGGGGTTTGGTTTGGTTTTGGCTTGGGGTTTTTTTTGGTTATTGTTTGGTTGGGTTTTTTTGTTGTTTCGTTGATTTGTTTTTGTTTGGTTTGGTTTTTTGCATGATAGTCTTAAGGTTGTGACTGCTATTCTCTTTCCTTAAGGAGAAATACTTTTGTCTTTTGTCTGCTGCTTAATTAAGTAGTTAACATGGATTACTTTAAAATATAAATAGTGGCTTACTTTCAACTGCATTGATATGAGTAAGAAATTTAAACATTTGAGTAGATACATGGATAACATTAATTCTCTATTTACGTTTCTCATAATTCTTAAAATATAATGGATAAGTCCTAGTTGGTGTTATGTGACAGTTTGAGTCTATTGCTCTTTTGTTCTGTGTAAAGGCATAAGGTCCAGGTGAAGACCTGCAGTTGGAGTATTTAGGCTAGACTAATGATAGACATTGTCATTGTAAAGGATTAGTATCCCCAGTTACCATATTAAGCTTTTTAGTTACAGCATTTWTATATATACATACTAGGCAAGGTTTACATTATGAAAATAATTGTCTATGGTTTTGATTTTTTTTTTTTTATTCTGAAGGGTCAGTTTTCATCAAGTCCTATTCAGGGAGGCACAAGAGCTTATAGCCTGGGAAGTATAACCAGTCCCACGTTTTCAGAGGGGTCTCCTGCACATCTTGGTTCTCCTGCTTTTTCACCAATTGCTTTTCACATAAGGAAAACACCACTCTCAGGTATAGTTTAATTGTATATGTATTACTCTATCTTGAGCAGTATATATTTATTATAAAAACTTCTAAACACTTAGTGGAACCTCCTTCTGTTTGGAGACAAGTTCCTGTGCTCAGCAGACCAGCAGTCTCCTCCTATATGATGTATTTGCTGTTTAGCAGTGAAATATGTGAAACAATGAAATGTGTATGCTTGCAACAGATCAAATAGAGAAAATATTTTAGAAGAAGGCATTGAGACCTAATAGGAAGGAAAAGAAGTTAAAAGGGTTAATTTCGTGTGGGAGGGATTTTAAAGCCATGTGCATGAACTGAGGTTACAATTTGATTTGATCCAACTTGAAGTGTTTTAATGTCAGTGGGCAAAGAATGTTTAGCTTGAGCTTTCAAATCCTGCCATCATGAAGATTATTTGAAATTAAATGACTAGTGAAGAAATCGCAAACATTTTGTGCCCTCATTGCTCTAAAAAATGTGTTTCATGCTGTGTCCATCCCTGATAAGGCTTAATGCCTTGTTCATACATGATTTTTACACATTTTGATTAATCCTATTTTACACCATTATATGTAGAAATTTCATAGATGTTTTCTCACTTGTTTGATCTTAAACTTCATTGCTGCCAAAAATTTAAATACCTGTAGATTGTGTATTGATACTTGTTCAGGAAAATATGGAACCAGCCTTCACACATTTTCCTTTGAATACTGTATACTAATGATATTTGAAAATACAAGGTCTCCAATATAGCAAATCATGTCATAAGAAAGCAAATTCGGTGGTAAAAATGGGCTAAAAACCCACCTTTATCATGGTAGTTGAAATGTATGGGTGGTTGGTTTGGTTTTTGGGGATGTTTGTTTGGTTGGGAGACAACGGTCAGTGAAATACTCTGTAGTTGGCTATAAATTATTCAATAGGCTATAGTGCTTTGTGAAGGATGAGGTTTTGTCAGATGTTAGGTGRAGCTAAACTTTGCTCTTTTTTTTCAGACCAAAGAAAATTTACATTTCGTTCTCCAGATATTCCTTCTTCCTCAAATAGAATGACACCCCCAAGTACAAGAAGTCCTTACATAGATGGTTGTTCTCCAATTAAAAATTGCTCTCCCATGAGGCTTGGAGGCTGTAGAGGGACTACCCCATATCAGACTTCTGTCATTAGAATACCAATTGCAGTTGAGAATCAGGATGAGGATGACAAGGAAAATGCTTGCCCAGCAGAAGCTCAGTTCCCAGAAATGGATAATGGAATAAACTTACGGCAGGAAGACAGTGATACTTTTGCACRTGGTACACATCTTGTGGTGGCAACTATGTCTGTTGCACCAGATCACTCAGAAGGTTGTCACCAAAGGTTGTCATCCTTTCAGGATATAGAAGGCTTAAAGGAAAGCAATACTGTAGACATGGCTGATGCAGCTGAAGTGTCAGAGGAAAACACTTGGATAAAAGAAACAAGTGGCAGTAGCAATACGCCAATGACCAGCTTTATGACAGGCATTACTTTCAGTATTGAAAGCTCTCGCATGTGCATGTCACCTCTTGCAGAAAGCAGTGCAATTCCTTGTGACAACAGTAGTATTCAGGTAAAAATAAACATTTTTGTTTCTCTGTAAAACTGAGCTCAACATAACTTGGAATACACGTACTAATCTGGCAGTAATGGTTACTTTCTCTTATTGCATATGGCACGCAGGCAGTATTATGACTTTTATCCCTTCCCCCAATACCCTCTTTTCAGTGGAGTTAGTATAGCAATTAAAATGATTTTTGTGTTGCTATGCACAGTAGCATATTTAACTTAATCCAGACTAATTCTCACAGACCTGCTTACAATTTGCTTTTGTTATTAACTGGTCATAGTTGGTTTGTTGGATTAAGTACTGTTAATCAAATGCAAATCATACCAGGTATCCAAGSGATTTATTTGTGTTAAATTACAGTACATTTTTCAAGCCCTGCTTTTTGATTTCAGGTGGACAGTGGTTACAATACACAGACTTGTGGAAGCAGCATTATGGATACTGCAGGGACTGAAAACAGTTGCAAAGAAAATGATGTGAATACTGTCATGTTTCAGAATAAATCTCAGCTGCTTAGAACAAAGGTAGGAGTTAAATTGTGGTTAAAAAAGTGATTGGCTTCTCATCTAAAGCAACCATTCCCCATTTTTTTTGGTTTCAGGRAGCCTGAAGGGAGAGACTGTCAGGTGATAAAAAAGATGTTAATGTAGCATCATTTGAGATACTATGTTGAATAAATGCAGGAGAAATATCTTAAGCTGGCAATAAAATTAATGTTTTATGATAAAAGCAAAGGTTGTTTTGGGGGAAACTGAGGTATATGCATGAAGAGTAATAGTGAGGCTGCTTATGACTTGTGTAGTTTGCCTCTTATTTTTGATGCTTTTGTTCTTRTTGCTTCATTTATTGCTAAGTTTTTAAACATGTACCTGTGGAGAAGGRTATTTCTGGGGAAAAATTATCTGCCACTAATTTTTATAAACTTAATGTCAAGTTTCCTAGACCATACCTGGCTTGCTGACTTGGTGGGGAACTTTCTGCATGGGTAYAGTCTTTTGATCACAAGCCTTTTGGTGACCTATCTGAAAAACAAATTACCAAAAACATATCTAGCAAGGCTCCTAACCCCTTAATCTTGTGGCCAACAGGAAGGAGTTCTACTTCTTCCAAAGCATTGGAAGCAAGGCTAGTTTCTTTGGAGAAAAGAGCAAAGATCATCTCCTCTCAGTAATTATGGTGTCTTGGTGCTACAAACTTAGTAGTTTATGGTCTGCTCTGTCTTGAAAGTCCTTGAAGAGAAGAGAGTACCAACCATTATTAGTACCAGATTATAAAAAAAACCTCAAGTAAGCCTATTCAGCCCTGACTTCGCTTCTGTATGTGACATGCTAAAAGCCACTTCTCTGACAAGGTGRAGTGCAAGATTGATGGTGTCTTACAGATCACTGACATCAAATTTTAAACTCTGCTCATTTAAGACTAGGACTAATATGCCTTACAAGAAGAATAGATGGATATATTGTCATTAACTTCTAAAAATACCCATCAAAGATCCTGCCCCAATCATCCTGTTCAACACGGATTTTTTGTGTGAATGYACTTACCAGAATCAACTGTCTGGTATCAAACTTGTCCTAGAGGGACTTGCCAATGTCATCCAGCTGCCTTTTCCCACTGTTAGTCTTTGAACTGCTGGATCCTGACTAAACCAAATTTTGAATTTTAGATTAGGATTAAAGTGTGAAGGCATTAAGTGGTTCATTCAACTCTTACAAATGAGAATCCCCAGGGAATGAAAAGAAAAAAGCACAGACGTTGCTAGCTGAAAGATTCAAGTCTAGCTCATTCAAAGCACATGAGCTCTTGAAATGAGGTGGTTCTTGCAGACAGCATGTTTCAAAGATCTATGTAGAGCACACGTGTTACTTAATTTCTTTCTTATTTCAGAAGGGTAGGGTTAGTACTTAAGGTACTTATTATATTTGAAATTTGCTGAGAGTAAGCTTGGATCTTGTTTCTTTTGGAAAATTCYGTTAAAATGGTTTTAAAATTAACTTTTTCTTTCTTTTTCTAGGAGTGTTCTGTTTTAAGCCAAAAGGACAATCAGTTGCTGAGAGCAAAATCTCCAGAGAAGCAATCCTGTTTCCAAAAAGCCAAAACACATAGCACAGTATTTGGTCAAAACGCAACTTGCAACATCTCTGCTTGGAAACATAAAAATGAAAATTGAGTTCAGGGATTTCACAAAAGTGGTATGTAGTGTTCTCATGGAGAACTTAAGCTGTGATGTCTAATAAATTTTTATACATATGACCTCAATTACCTGGATTATACATACTATTTTGCTTTTCTGATGCAAATGTAATAAACTGGTATATATTAAGGGAATTTTTAAATAATGTGGGATTTTTTCAGGTTTTACTAAGAAATGTATTGTGACCATTAACTAGTCCTTTTTGAAAATTAAGAGGGCTAGACTTTGTACAGAGAAACAATTTTTCAGAATTATATTCCTTSTGTGATTCGGGTGGATTCCACGAGCAAGATAACTTGCATAGGAACCAATATAATGGCAGTAACATCTATATTTTAAGATTTGTCCTGCCTYGTGGCATGAGCAACATTTTTCTTTGGGGGAAAGAAAAAGTAAGGGAGTATTAGTCTGGATTTGGATTGCTTTTCTMCAACCAGATTTATCGTGTGGCTTCATAAATACTAGCACTGGTACCAAGAATAAGTCACTGGCCAGAAGTGAACTGCTGAGAGTGTGATGAGAGCAAACAGCRAAGTTTAGCTCTTTTAGTAATATAAGCTTCAAAAGAAGCTGTTTAGCAGTTCTCTGAACAGCTTTTTCCTTGGTTTGACAGCAGTCTGTGGTGTCAGTTAAGTTTACSAGGTACTTAGGTAAAATGTATTATTGGGCACCTTAAAATTAAAAGATAGTATTGTTGCTTAAGTAATTGTATTAGTATTAAACTTGGAGTTGATCACCTGACAGTACCAGCATCTCTGAAGAATACTTGAATCCAGGTTGATGCTATGGTACCCTTTGGAAGGAGGCTAAGAAGGTGCAATAAAATTAATTCGTCTCACTATGTCACTAAGAACATGGTGCAGCCTTTTTTCTTTTAAAGCAGACCATTACACTTTACTTCTCTTATGTTTAATTCTCAGTATTATTATGTYGCTTACAGAAATGACCAAAACATTCAGACAAATCCTTAAAAATGTAATTAACTTTTGCATGCCATTTATTACAGTAAGTATTAATATGAGCAAACCTTTGAGCCTTTCAAGAAAACCATCAGTGAATTAAAATGATGGATTCAGGGGRATMAGAAGACCAGAAATCGCTTTGTGTAATCAAATCAAGATTTGGTTAAGTTTGCTTGTATTTATTTAAATGAACCTTCTGGAATTTATAAATGTGAATAGGGGGAAAAATCCATATGATAATCTTGTGGCCCTAGTGACTAAGAGGGGAAGAAGAGATAGGGGATACACCTGAGATTTCCAGGCTTTGTTTATGTAGAGCTCTGATAAACTTTGTTGGATTAAAGAAAAAGAGAAGTCCATTCTAACGAAGGTTCCAGGTGAAGTAGTCTTTCTCTCTTTTCATAGCAAAGATGTCCCAGGATACTAAATGGAAGTTCTGCTTTCTGTTCTATTCCACAACCTACAGAAATGCTTGTACCAAAGTGATAGATGGTGGCTGATGAGCATCTATTGGCACACTAGGCCTGAAACCTATTGGTCAGACCTAAATTTGAAAGCAAGGCAGCATTTTAAAAAAATCTCAAAAGAGGAGGTGTGAACAGAATCTCACAGCATTAAAAACAATGTGTTAGACCTGACAGTTGTGTTRTCTGAATAGAACAGTTCTTGAAATATTTTCGTTAATAATTTCCTAGTGAAGGCTTTCTGAAAAGCCTATTTGGGRAAAAGGGAAACTCCCATCTGCCTTAGTTGATGGTAATTCTCACATTGCAAAAATAAATATTAAAAAATTTACTTTAGAAATCTAATGAGCAAACATGATGTGTATCATTTTTATTTCTGCAGCAATTTAATCACTGTTTCTGTARTGCATGTCAGATTGACAGTAATGGAATTCAGTGTCATATGTTACCTATTTCATAATCTTCAAACAGTGCCCTACTGGTAGCTGAAAATACATTGAATTGGTAACTTTTAAGGGATGAATTTTGTTAAAAGTAGGAAATGAACTTGGACTTCTGGAAAATCAATTTTTTAGAATAAGGCCTTCRACAGGTTCTTAGCTGTAGCTTCTAAGTTTTGTCATTCAAAAGCAGGATACAACTTGTCTGAGATTTAAAAGCATGACCTTGTCTCCTTTTTGTTTCTCATGAAATTTTCTTTAACAATAAGCARTTGAAAGGACTGCACARAAGATTTATTTYTGCAATTGTGGTTACTAAAATAGTRAAGTAAATTTAATGAACCTTAAGCAGGGTAGTCCAAATTATTAATTGTTTCTGAATTCTTCTGAGTTGCATGTATAATTAAGATTTGGTTTTACTTATTAACTAAACTTTTTGATGTTTTTATGTTTATTGATCAGAGGCTTTTGAAGTATTCACAAGTAAAAAAGCGATCACTAAAATATTAAATTTTGTCTTGTATCAGTGTTTTGTAAAAGGTAAGAAAAATGTAACACCAGAAATGGGTGAATGTGAGAAGTGATTAAGGATCCCCCCCCAACTCAATTACCTGAATTTTTTGTTCTRTGTTGCAGTCTTCAGTTAGATGGGAAATATTTATTTTTATGAAAACATTCCTATTTTTTTATTATGTTTGTAGAATGGATTTGTAGAAGAAACCTACTGTGCAAATTACCATGGAAATCACTTGACCATTCTGATTCTATAGCTGTTCTTGATGCWTTGGGTGGCACACATTGCACAAAATGGTCATTGTTTACATTAAATTAATATCAGTAGTTTTAACGAAAGTCCTTTAACATGTCTAATTGTAAAYTGAGTAGTGAAAAACAATAAAGATATTTCTTTAATCCCTATATKGTTCAATTACTTCTTTCAGTTCTGAGATGCTAAACAGAATGCACTGAAGTGCTGACTTCAGTCTGACTGTCAAAACAGCATTAAAGTTATTGAAAAGAAACTACAATCATTTTTTTCATTTTGCAGAAATATTTATTTTTACCCACAGGACACAAGTGTAGATAGACATGATTTTAAAACCTGTTCTGCAATCAGTCATAAAAAAGTAGTTWAAAAAAAAAWTCTTTACAGATTATTAAAATGTYTTTTAAAAAAGTAAACAAAACCCGTTTCTAGCATTTTGTCCATAGGGAAAAATACCTCAATGCAAGTACTTCTGTGTTTTYTTCTTAACTTTATATCCAGCTATTTTTGTAGCTTCTTTTTCTTTTTCTCTGGTTCATCATTGCTCCTTGCCTCTGCAGACAGACTTGCAGGCACATCAATTCCTAATATCTACAGTAAGAAAAGAAGTCAGAACATTTTACTCCATTTTCACTATCCTGGTAAAACTTGTGTTTACTTGTATAGACCTTTTACAAACACTGTATCAACATCAAAAACTTCTGATTTAGAAAATCACCTAAAAGAGGGTCTACCATCTTAGAATAATCACAGGTAGCACTCACCTGAAATAAAATATGAAAAAGGCAAAGCGAAGCAGCAGCATCCCTCCTGACAAAGCCAGCAGGTTCTTTGCACCCCAGCAATCAGTTTGCATTAGCCTTACTTTGTGYCTGTTTTCAAAGTGTTCCTCAAACYGAAGTCATGGCCACRGGAWTGTTCCTGAGTCATGCCCACAACAGAAGCTCTTGACAAGCTCGAGTTGGTGAGCACAAGCAGGGGGCAGCTCAGCATGTGAATGCACAATAGTATACAAGGGTTCCTTTCCGCTACAACTTTCCTTGTCTACACCTGGTTTATGAAATCACAGCAATTCAATTCAACACAGGCAGGGGGATGAACAGATCCAGAGCAGTCCTGGTGAGAAGGATTTGGGGGTGAAGGTGGACAAGAGGCTGGACAWGACCCAGCARTGAGCACTCACAGCCCAGAAACCCAAAYRTGTCCTGGGCTGCATCCAAAGCAGCGTGGGCAGCAGGGCCAGGGAGGSGATTCTGCCCCTCTGCTCTGCTCTGSTGAGACCCCACCTGGAAYACTGCATCCAGCTCTGGAGTTCCCAACACAGGAAGGRCATGGRCCTGCTGAAGCAAGTCCACAGGAGGGCCACAAAAATRATCAGAGGGCTGGAGCAGCCCTCCTGTGTTGTTCAGCCAGGAGAAGAGATTCTAGGGTGACCTYTGAGCAGCCCTCCAGGACCTAAAAGGGGAGCCCACAAGAAGGCTGGAGAGGGACTTYTCACAAGGGCATMCAGKGACAGGAAAAGGTGGGAATGGCTTTTCCCCCCACAGCTGAAAGTGCGTAGATTAGTTTAGTATTAGGAAAAATTTCTTTTTTGTGATGAGGCACTGAAATAGGTTTYCCAAACAAGTTGTGGATGCTCCTTCCCTAGAAGTGATACTAAAGGCCAGGCTGGATGGGGTTTTGAGCAACCGCATCGAAGCAAAGGTGTCCCCGGCCATGGCAGGCAGGGTGGAACTAGATGATCTTTAAAGGTCCCTTGCAACTCAAACCATTCTATGGTTCAAACTAATACAAAACCTCAAAGATCAGAATATATTTACATGTGTTTGGAAGCCTAATTGCTCAAGGAAAAATGAAATAATAATGTTTGACTGTATAAACAAAAAGAAGCTCTTGCTTATTTTGGGTTGTCTTGTTCCTCAATGATTAAGAGATACTGAACTGCTGCAACTATCTGTTTACTTAGAAAGTCACATGTACCTCACTGTAAGGACACAATACTGAAATGTCATGCAAAATAYTTATCAGGCCTAAAGTGTGAGAGCAAGTGAAAACGCCAGTGTCCCAGATGCACAAAGAAGCTAGAACTGAAAAGTCTTGAGACGAAAGATAGTTATTAGGACATCATAGTTCTTACATTATCAAGTGAGAATTTTTATATTGTGGGGTTTGTAAGACAGAACTGCCATTGACAGCCAGCAATTACACAGTTTTCTTCTGAGCCACCCATCACAGTTACACTGTAATTCACTGGACCTAAGAGAAGATCCTACCAAATTTGGGCAATTTTTTCAGAGGGGTATTTAATTCCGAATTTCACAAACTGTGAATTCAGTACATAACTTCAGTAAATCATCATCTTTCCCACCAGTGGAAATATTCTGATGGGTCCAGAATGGAAGTTTAATTTAGAGGGCTCCATTCTTTACCACCAGTAAAAGCAGACCTATATTTTATTGAGAGTGGATATGAAGTAATCATTACAAGCTGCTGCTAAATTACATTTTTTCTTCTGATTTAAATTTCAATTTTACCACACAATGATTTTTTAAGATTACTGAAAGGTAATATGGTTCTAACAATCTGGTGCCTTACCTTGGGTTCCACCAAGACCATCCGCATTTTCTGATGTTGGATATTAGAATCATCTAACATAATGTTTACTTTAACTTTATCAAATACATGTAATGTTGTGTCTTCCACAGTAAGTGATGGTACCTGAAAGTTCAAATTTTGCATAAATACTCACTATTTGAAATGTCTTATGTTTTTATAAAAATATTTTTGTATGAAAATATTAGTTACAGGTAAATAAAAATGACCAAATATTACTGTACTGAATATTGACTGTTAGATAGGTAATTAGAGTTCAGTTGTATCTATTACAGAAACAAATTCCTGTCAGAACCTACTTATTTAGACTTACAAAGACGGTAGTGGCACTACTACTAGAGATTATTAAACTTGCATTTAGGAAAGCCTCTCTTACCCTTCTAAATCCAATTAGAATAGATTTTAGGCATTCTGCTCACTTACAAAATCAGAAAATAAAGTTATCTAAGAACAAACTTTAATAATAAGAACATACCTCACTATTGTACTCCAATTTTGGTGTTGGTTTGTCTTTCTCTTCAAAGAAGACTGTTCCTTCTAACCCGTACTTGGGAATCAGAACCACAATCGCATTTTTTCGTACAAATAATATATATGCATCTTCATTTACTACCCCCTTGGTTTTGAAAAACAGCTGTAACAAAAGTAAAACACACAAGTAAGAAAAAAACCCACTAGAATATTCTCTCCTGAATTACAAATATACTGGCTCAGAAGAATAAATCATTCAAATACACAGCTGTACTTAGTGATAATTACACTGCATATACTGAATGCAGATTTTTAAAAATCACATTAACCATTCATAACATTACTATAGTTTTAAGCATTCATATTTATAAAAGCACAAAACTAAAAGAATCCTCAAGATGCCATTCCAAATCTTTCAGAACAAGTRAAGTAATGTTTTAAGCTTCTTGTCAGAAGCATCCCTCAGCCTTTATCATTTCTGCACTCTTGCTTGGTTTTGCACTAGCACTGTCTATAGCTAATCCCAACATCTCAGAGCTACTTACCTGTGTATGGAAYGCAACAGAGGCTCTTTGTGCATATTGTGCCATTTTATGCCGGTAATTGAGATTTTTACACATCTCTGCCAGTTTGTGTTTATCTGTGAGTTCTGGGTAAGTGCTGTCTGCTCCTATGGCCACTGCCAAAAGCCGATGGACTATGATATCAGCGTACCTGCAAACATGAGGTTAAAATCATCAATGACATAGTAAGACATTCTTATTCAAAATTAATAAAGTTTCTGAACCTGTTTTTTTTTTTGTGTAATTTACGATTCAAAGTATTAGCAATAATGAAGTCTTGTGGCAACCCCCTCTATTAATTCAACATTGAACTCTTTGCTGACCAAAAATGTACYGCAGAGCAAAATGAACTATAGTGTTTGCTAAGATAGATTCTTTATTGTACCAATAGAGCCTGCATTGTTGAATGTTTACCAAAAAATAAACAAAGTTTTATTTTTGGCCTAATGAATGATCTTTCACCACAGTGTTTTAAGTCAATGTCTAAGCCCTTTCCCATGAACTAGACAAATTTAATTGGTCTGCAAAGCATAATCACATTTGAACTTCCTGTTAYATAACTTACTAGAAATTCAGCACGGAACTTTTTAATATATCTGGTAAGAACTAAAATTTATCATTTGGACTCCTAGACGTTCCACAAATTCCCCGTATAAATGTATGGGAATTTTAATCCACATCTGTGAGATACCACTTGAAATGTTTCTAAGGAGCACATAACAATCATTCAGTGACATCTTGTTTAGAAGAAATAACTAACATACTTTTCTAGAAGAATGGTTTCATTCCATGTAACAGCTGCAATAGCAAATTCCCAWTTACAAGTGTTTTCATATGTAAAATACAGTCTCCTCAAAATTTAAACATAGCTTCCATCCRAAAAATGACTGAGCAAGTTCTGCTTCAGTCTCTGACTAAGACTAATGCTGACTGACCCTGAAGTGCTTTTCTATGCCAGACATCTGTGTTAGGGATGTATTCCTATTATTTTTGTAAGTACTTTCAAAAATGTTGCTAAACCTTAGGAATCGTGGACAATAGACTTGAGAGCATACATGAAGATAGATCACCATGTAAGCCACTGCTGTTTCAGCTGAAATCTAACACTGAACAGAAACTTTTTTAAATGGACAACASTGCAATTTCTTCACAAATAAATCACCTATTTCTTTTATTTGAAACCTTCATAAAGTGAAAGTACCTTCTAATAGGCGAGGTAAAGTGGGTATAAATAGGCGAAGCTAAACCATAGTGATGAAAATCATTATCCATTCCCGAGCAGAAATAAACAGCTTGCATCATGCAGCGAGTAGTCAAAATTCGCAGCAGTGTATTTAGGTAGGGGAATGTAGGAGATTCAGCTTTATCTAATGATTCGGCTAAAGCCTTTGCTGAATCTGTCTTAATTTCCAAATTCTGAAAGGAGAGAAGAAAAGAAGGAAAAACATTGAAGTATTACTAGCAAATATTAAGACTATAAGCAGAAATGTAACAGCTACATATAGGATAAACYTAGCAACTGGCACAGATATCACACCTCATAACATGCTGGAATGTCACTATTAGAAAAACAAACAAAATCTATCCATGCRTGGGTCCCTCCCTAACTATTACTAGTGCTCTATGCAAAAAATGAAATGCTGAGTCAGTAGCCTAGTAATTCAGAAGACACCCATTTCTCAACTAAAACACTTTATGCCAATATTAACAAGGTGTTTAATTTYCTTTGGTTTGATTTTTCTATCCCTTTTTTAAATCAGAAAGAATTTTTTAAAAATACCCTCTATTTATGCCACACACTGATTCTCATCTAAGCACAAGGTAAGTAACTGACTTCTTTGTTTATTTCCTCCGTGAAATTATTATAATGTATCCTTGGAAAAGCCATCTGTAGAACTAGTACTGTGTATTACAGTGTGCTCCCTGTTTGCCAGTGACTTCTGATAAAAATTAAGGTAGACTGAAAATACATAATGCATTTTTAATTTCCAGAAATGCAAGGTAAATTTCATCATATGATCAACTGAATGCTCTGTCTTTTATGTACAACACTGACAATAAAGTATGATCCAGAGATCAAATTACACCTGTATTATGGTAAAATAATTGCATATTTATTTTAAAATTAATACCTAACTGTGATGGTATCTACAAAGTTTCAAGTTGAGCTCCAATAAAAGATACTGAAACTGGAAAAGTAATTTTTCCTGTTCAGAACTCATTAATGAAATTGACTTGTTTCAGGCTAAATAAACCTCTAGCTGATTTGTGGAGAGGATGGAAACATTTTCTTACTTCTTGACTTTCAGAGAAACATGTTATTTGATGAGCACTTTTTAAGTACGTTAATAATGTATGTGATCCAAAGCCAAAAAGTGGCTCAAAAATCACATGTAACTTGGAGAGGAGAAACATTCACAGCACACAGGTGCTACAATAAAAGATTTAAGAGAGTGATTTATTTTCTTTACCTAAGAAAGGATTTAAAAACCACAAGACTTTTTCTTTCACCTTGAGGTACAATTATCTTGCTACAAGTACCAGAGATTTTAAAGTGCAGCTGATACACTTTCAAAAYACTGCTTTCCAACCCTTATTCTTGGATAAGTGACCAATCAGAGAGAAAATACAGCTTTTCATAATTAATTCATTTAACTAGCATGGTAAAAACTTGCCTTGGACTTTGCAGCCTTCACAAGGATGTCATAATTTGATGGGGGAGGAGCAGGATGTTTTCGGAGCAAGGCAAACTCTGGGAACTCATCATAAATTTTTTGTGCTACAGAAATATTGGCAAGCAACATGAACTCTTCAACCATGGAATTTGTCTCTCTATCAAGACAAAAATTTAATATTGTTAGAAAAGCATTARACATTTACTTTGAGTGCCTAGTGAAAAAACAACACACCATCATAAGAATGTTAACTCGTGATTTTAAACGTTTATACAAGTAGGCAAGCAATTTTAAGTCTAAAAGTGATGCGCTTATTAAGCTCCAAATACTGAGCCAGAAGAAAAAAAAACCCTGAAATCAAATAGTGAAATCATCAAACATCAAATTAAAGAAAAATGCTCATTAAAATGCCCRCAAAGACCAACAGATAAGCCTCTTGACTTCTTCCTAAGAAGTTCACATATGAAACATATAGCTCAAAGCTTGCTAAATACTGCAAAATAAAGTTAAATAGAGGAATTCTCTTTCTGAGGATCAGCTTGGCCAAAGGAATTGTGGATGCACTATCACTGGAAGTGTTCAAGCCTAGCCTGAGTGGGGCTTTAAGCTACCTGGTCTACTTTAAGCTACCATGGTCTACTTTAAGCTACCTGGTCTACTTTAAGCTACCATGGTCTGGGCCCATGGCAGGGGGGTCTGACCCAGGTAACCTTTCAAGGTCCCTTCCACCCCAAACCATCCTCTAATTCTGTCCTGCACTATTATAGAAACTCTCTACACTATCAACTAATTGTTGCTATTTAAAACATGTCTTTAACTCCATCCCTACCCTGAATTAAGTAATAAAAACAATGCATACTTGAGTTCCTTAGTCTGCAGATCAATAGGATCATGAGTTTCACTATCCATGTGGAAACGAACTTCTGGTGATGCAAGTGTCAAGGCTCTGGAAGACAGTAAGTGGTATAAAAAAATTACAGYAAAGCAGACAATGCAGCTGAGCTGCAAGTCTGTAACATCATCTGGGGTTATCATGACACTATAATTTAAAACCAGCAKAAATCAGAAAGAAAATTACGGAATTCATGGTTAAATTTGCAGGAAATGTAATGCCAATACACACCACAGTAGCTCCTATAATTTCAAATGCTACTCTTCTGGTTGGGTTTTTATGACTCTAAGAGATCCATATGAATTGATCTTGAGAAGGAAAAGTTAATAACACAAGTTTATATTTTTGGGGAAATGAAGATAAGCATTTTTATGCRTATCAAAATGGCACAATACTTCTCTTCTGCAAGATTTTCACTAGAAAAACAGACACAGGACCATTATATATTTTGACAGCAAAAAAGTCAGAAAAAAAAGGGGGGGGGGGTAGGTTAAGAGCCACTGCATGGCTTACCCATTATCAATTCTTCTCTTCTTCAGAATTTTTGCTAATTTGTTTAGTCCWCGTAGGCTGGTAGTAATCTCATCATTCATAGCTGCTGAATCGATTCTCATCTGTGCTTCAGCATACGTAAGAGAAGCCTTGAAGAGGTTAAAAAAAAAAGACATCACAATACATAATTGAATATTAAAAAAAAAAACAGTTCTTCTTGTCTCGCAGAAAGTGCATCTTGCTGTTGTAAGTTGGCTCACAATAGCACAAAGCTTTACATTCAATACCTAAATGCCTGTTATTCACAAACAATACTGAACAAATGAAGACAGATCTATGCAAGGTTTTAAGAAACACCGGGCATTTACAGTGGGTTTTTTTTTTTGCTGATCACATGTATTTTGTACATTGGAGGTCTAATTTTCAKTAATGTATTGAACATCATCTAGCCAGGGATGGAGTCACTGTCCCTGGARGCATTTAGAATAAGACTAGACATGGMATGGCACTCAGTGCCATGGTTTAGTTGATGAGGTGGTGTTAGGTCACAGGCTGAACSTGATGATCTCAAAGGTCCTTTACAGCCTAGTTAATTCTGTGATCCTGTGATCTACAGAATCCACTAAATTTAAATAACTAGCTGGTGTATATCAACCATGTCCTATATACATCATGCACACTGCAGCCTTAAAGGTTGAGAAGAACACRTAAGAATCAAACATTTTCTTTATTTTTAGTATTTCAGCACCATTTTCTAATTCTAATAAAATATAAATCACTAATCAGAAAGAAAATTTAATTATCATGTCTGTTAATAGTTTCTATAACACAGTTTACTGCTTTTCTTCAGATTTACAGTAATATTTATTTGACTAACCTTGGAGTTAATAACACTCTTCGTAAATCTGGTTTTTAGAATTTCAGCCTTATGGTTCATCTCCCATATGCATGAAAACGCAAGCCTATGACAGAGAAAGAGAGAGAGAGAGAGAGAGAGAGAGGAGAGGAAAATCTGTTAAATCCATACATGAACATCTGTAGTTTTTTGCCAGGATCAAAGTATGGATCATGTACATATACCTGTCCACATTAGATCTCAGGGAGCATAAGTTGGAGCTAAGTAGCTCTGGAACCATATCAATCCTCTGCAAAGTAAAGAATAAAAATCATGACTCTTTATAAATATGTATTTTAACTTCCTCATTTTTAACAAAACAAAAGGTTGTAGATAATAATTGTTTGCTAAGAAAGTTCAAATTTCTAAAAGAAAAGTAAGCCACTTCAAGGAATTTCATTCCAGGACTCAATTATAAGCTTTTTAGTAACAGTGATTTCTGAAAAGAAATTGTGGTCTGGAAGACATAAACAAGACTAAGTCTACAGTGTTAATGAATGCAAATCATAGGGCCTTTCAGAGATTTAGATATCACAAAAAATCCAAAAAACAATGGAAAAGGCAAAACTAGGCCACTTCTCCCATTTCCAGTTTCAGAACCATATGCTAGTAACGCTTCAAACCACAGCTGAAAAGGATGTTCTCCAGATAATGGATTTTAAAAGATACAAAGGAAAATAAAATTGTTTTAGACAAATTGTTCCCTTTTTTTTTCTCCTTAGTTCGGAGATAATGTCTCCACTCCCAATAATTAAGAGGAAAGCAATGAAAATCCAACCAGTTAATCATACAAGATGCTGTAGAAAACAATTACTTTTTCACACAGATATACTGTAGTTCCTCTGTTTACTGACTCCTCATCCAAAGCATTYCCTGGGCGAATAAAATGACTGACATCTGCAATATGTACACCGACCTAAAAAAGAAGCATCAGATTATGCAACTCATGAAACAGAACAGTTCTCA